CACACACACACACACACACACACACACACATACAGACATACACACGCGCGCTCATCGCACACGCACGCAGCCACGCACGCAAGAACGAACGAACGAACGAACGAAAGAACAAACGAACGTACAAACAAACGAACGAACGAACGAACAAACGAACGAACGAACGAACTAATGAACACGCGCTCACACACGGACGCACGCGAGCACGCATCCTAGGGCACAATCGCACAACGTACAGCCACAGGTATTTCAAGCTACGGTACTATCGGGAGTGTCATAATATAGACACTAGTAATATAGAATATAGAACACATAATACGCATAATATAGAATGTAGTCTATATTATGACACTTCTAGCGCTATTAGACGCTTACTTCTACATTTACATATGATATATTTTCAGCGTTCTTATTTCCTACAACAAAATGAAGAGAGTGATCTTGGCGATACTACTGCTCGTTTCCCTGGTGGCGTCCACATTAGCAGGTAAGCGCACCCATAGACGCTTTCTTATCAGGATTTAATGCATAATCGCTCGCTTTATAATAATCAACTGAAATACAATAAAAGAAATATATTCCGTAGTCCTAAGTGTCAAATGTATCTGCAGTAGAATCGTTGCCTGTTATATTTTAATTATCTGCTGTAAAGCTATTTGTGTACCATGTATATAGGCGCATGTAAATAAAGAATTTTATCTATTTAATTTCGAAGTATTGCAGCATGCGTTGTTCGAACCTTTGTAACTGAGCCTTCCATTGCAGCAAATATGTGTTCGGCTGTTGTACGCTCCGCATGCTTAAGCATATGAACAAGTGGCACTCAATCATATCAGTTCAGTTTATGGAGAAATCCGCCAGTACCCATACATAACCATGCACGTATATTACTGTTCGCGAACATACGGTAGAAGTATGCATAGCTTTAATTACACGAATTGTTCGAACCTTTGTAACTGAGCCTTCCATTGCAGCAAATATGTGTTCGGGTGTTATAAGGGGAAGTATTGCAGCATGCGTTGTTCGAACCTTTATAACGGAGCCTTCCCTTGCAGCAAATATGTGTTCGGGTGTTATAAGGAGAAGTATTGCAGCATGCGTTGTTCGAACCTTTGTAACTGAGTCTTCCATTGCAGCAAATATGTGTTCGGGTGTTATAAGGATATATATATCAATCTATCTCTATATATATATTATATATATATATATATTATATATATCACGAATTCTCGCGATCTTTGCTCTTAATTATTTATATCATCTCATTTAAATTAGTAAGTATAAGAAACACGTGTTCACATTTTGTAGCTATAATTTTCTCAGTATCATAATGATATAATAGTGATTTTAACAACTCTACTTACTAACATTGCTTCAACATAACTAGTGAATCGTAATTATTAAACCAAAGAAAAAAGTTAACGCGCTGCTCGCAAAATGGTACGATTAATTTTGTCATTTGCAAAATCACAATGAAGTTTCCATACAATAGAATATAGATAGATTCGTTTTGCTCATCGCAGTATACATAATTCATTACCATTTCACAGCCATGCGTAGTTTTAATCTTGAATGCTTATATATATATATATATATAAAAACAATAAGCAATAGATATTTAATTACGTACGGGATTTTATTCGCATATTCGCAATTTCTCAAAACATGTTACTGCATACCGATTAGAAATAAATTAACACGAATATAACAGAAGCACAACAGGAATGGAATACCAAACATTTTCTGATGGTTTTGAGATTCGAAGAAAAATGATTAATCGAATACTCATATTTAAGTTATAATTAGTAATCGTACAGGTGCCGTCTTATTCTTAATTGTTGCGAAACAGACATTTTAATCAAAAGCATAAAATAAAGCATTCCGGTGTCTGAAATTCACTGCGACGCTTTGTTTAATTGCATCTATTGTAATAACACTGCGGGTAATTAAAACAACAAATAATTAGTAATTCAATTTTACTGCAGATTTGGAGTCAGAATTAATATAGGTTTAACAAAATTGTTTTATGCCGTTGATTGTTTTCGCTGCATGAAATTAAATCATTGTAATTATATGTAAACCTGTTCTGTACACTAGACGACACAATTATTATATCATCGACTTCGACAGATCGTAATGTTTGTGAGATACTTGATTTTGCTAATACGATGATACATACAAAAAGACGTATCAAAGAGGCACTAGAATGCTATTGCGTCAGTACCGAGTGTTTATCGCAAATGGTTTGCATGAAGGCGGGGAAGAAATGCATGAGTTTGGATCTCATTATTGTTTCATTGTCGTATAACCTGTTTCTACTGTTTCCTTCTTTCGTGGAAATGGTTTGAAGCGTGATATATGAACCTGCCGTAAAGCCCTTCTCTCCACTATATTTTTCTATTATTTATTATTTTTTTCTATACCTGTTCTTTCCTGTTCCTGTTTGTTGGTATAGCTGCTTTTTATAGTCCCGCGTGTGCTTGCCTCTACGTGCGCTTGCGTGCGTGAGTGAGTGCGCTAACTAAGAGGGCTAGAATTATATATTGTTTTTATTGTCAGGACTATAAAATTATAGCTAATATCAACAGTAACTTGTATTCGCATTTTTATTGCGTACCCGTGTTATTATTAATACCATGTAATACCTAGTATCAAAACGGTAAGGTTATAAAATATTATAAACGTGAAAGCGTACTGGGTACCCCACCCTCTCAATAGATAGATAGAGTGTGTCTCGTCTTATTGCATATGGCCTTTGATGCCATAATACTGTGGCTTAAATGTAGATGTCGCCACAAGGTATATTAATCTAAAGCGTAGAAATATATAGATATTAGAAAAATATATAGATCTTATTTCTATGATCTAGAGCCTTGTAAAAGTTGGGAGAACCGGACGATTAGAGTAAAAATAGAAACTATGATCTTCCTAACTGCTAGTATGACGTAAATTTTGCTCGCCGCAGCGAAGCGTGACAGAGAGAGTTTCGATGGACCCACACCTTGTAGTCCGTAGTGGCAGCTTAGGCCGCTTGATCCAATATCTAACATAATTAGCGTCGAGCACCTAGGGTAATATGTAAATATGTAAATGTGTAATTCTGTAAATATATACAGGTGTATTACACATTTTTAGTTCCGCCTTTGCCACGTGCAACTTACATTTACTATTTTGATCTATCGCGAAAAAGCACCGAAGCGTGATGTCAACAGAATTGGGAATGGCTCTATCTGTAAACGCCACCTGTTTGTTTTTTCCAGGTACCGGATCTCGCGTGTAAAATCGTGTAACATTGGATTTTATAGGGAGGGTGATGATATATAAGGTACGCGCGTCAAGCTGTATAGCAAGCAGTACACGTTCACTACCACGGTGCCGAGCTACAGATACCTTCCTCTGCGACAGACATCATAAGGTAAGCCATGACATTTTATTTAGTGCTACACACAATCGCACACACACAATCGCACACACACGCACGCACGCAAACGCACATGCTCACGCACTCACTCTCTCACACACACACGCACACACACACACACACACACACACACACACACACACACACACACACACACACACACACACACACACACACACACACACACACACACACACACACACACACACACACACACACACACACACTCACACACAGACATACACACGCGCGCTCATCGCACACGCACGCAGCCACGCTCGCAAGAACGTACGACCAAACGAACGAACGAACGAACGAACGAACGAACGAACGAACGAACTAATAAACACGCACTCACACACGGACGCACGCGAGCACGCATCCTAGGGCACAATCGCACAACGTACGGCCACAAGTATTTCAAGCTACGGTACGGTACTAAGGGAGTGTCATAATCTAGACACTAGTAATATAGAATATAGAACACATAATACGCATAATATAGAATGTAGTCTATATTATGACACTTCTAGCGCTATTAGACGCTTACTTCTACATTTACATATGATATATTTTCAGCGTTCTTATTTCCCACAACGAAATGAAGAGAGTGATCTTGGCGATACTACTGATCGTTTCCCTGGTGGCGTCCACGCAAGCGGGTAAGCGCACTCACACACGGACGCACGCGAGCACGCATCCTAAGGCACAATCGCACAACGTACAGCCACAGGTATTTCAAGCTACGGTACGGTACTATCGGGAGTGTCCGAATATAGACACTAGTAATATAGAATATAGAACACATAATACGCATAATATAGAATGTAGTCTATATTATGACACTTCTAACGCTATTAAACGCTTACTTCTACATTTACATATTATGATATATTTTCAGCGTTCTTATTTCCCACAACGAAATGAAGAGAGTGATCTTGGCGATACTACTGCTCGTTTCCCTGGTGGCGTCCACGGAAGCGGGTAAGCGCACTCACACACACATTCTTACCAGGATTTAATGCACAATCGCTCGCTATAATATAATCAAATGGAATACAATGAAAGAAATTCATCCCGTAGTACTACTGTACTAAGCGTCAAATGTATCTGCAGTAGAATCGTTGCCTGTTATATTTTAATTACCTGCTGTAAAGCTATTTGTGTAC